GTGCATCTGACTGTGACTGTACCTCTGCGGGTGCAGGTGCGTTGACTGTGCATCTGACTGTGACTGTACCTCTGCGGGTGCAGGTGCGTTGACTGTGCATCTGACTGTGACTGTACCTCTGCGGGTGCAGGTGCGTTGACTGTGCATCTGACTGTGACTGTACCTCTGCGGGTGCAGGTGCGTTGACTGTACATCTGACTGTGACCTCACCCTCCTGGGGGCGGGTGTATTAGCTATAATTGGTGGAATTCTACAGACTGCGCATCTTCTGACAGTGACTGTGTCCACGTTTCAGTAGATTTTTTAATCTTTGTAAAATGTAGATAATATAATATACAAATTTCAATTGCCATCATATTCTCCTATTCCATACCTATAGGATACTTCAGTATAATTATGCCATTATTAATATATAATATATTATTACGGTATATAATTATGATATAACTAAGTATAATTATGGCATATTAATTTATTAAAATCTATCCAAATTCGAGCGGTGATAAAGGTATGGGTCGTGATTCGCATTATACCTTAGCTAATTATATCTAATGGATTTTTCCGTGTTTTCACCGTGGATTTAATCCCTCACGCTCGCTAAACTCCTGGTACAGCTCTAACTTGAAGACAAACAATTTATTCATCTTCAATCCTTTGTTCATGTGAGAAAATATGTACAGCAAGCGGTTTATCAATTACGTTTAGCATTAGATTTGAAGTAAAGGTTTTAATCGATCACAATCAAATTAAATTTTCGTTTGCATTATTCACGTTCACGTAATTGATATTCCATCTAATTTTCCAATAAATTAATGTTTGTCATTTTTCATTAATTGTAAAAAAATTATCTACGATACATTTTTTCTTGATGTCTTTGTATCTGCGCGTGTTTGTCCCGCAGATGTCCCCGTCCCGCGTGCAGGTGTCCGTTGGGGGACGGGCGTCCCTGCGCTGCCTGCTGGACGGCGGTCCGGTCCTCTCGGTCACGTGGTACAAAGACGCCGTCCACCTCAGGTCAGTGGCGGTCTGGTCCTCTCGGTCACGTGGTACAAAGACGCCGTCCACCTCAGGTCAGTGGCGGGCCGGTCCTCTCGGTCACGTGGTACAAAGACGCCGTCCACCTCAGGTCAGTGGCGGTGTCTCTTATACACATCTAGATGTGTATAAGAGACAGATCATGAGCGGTAGTCTCATCACCATGAGCGGTAGGCCCATCATCATGAGCGGTAGTCCCATCACCGTGAGCGGTAGGCCCATCATCATGAGCGGTAGTCCCATCACCGTGAGCGGTAGTCCCATCACCATGAGCGGTAGACTCATCACCATGAGCGGTAGGCCCATCATCATGAGCGGTAGTCCCATCACCGTGAGCGGTAGTCCCATCACCATGAGCGGTAGTCCCATCACCATGAGCGGTAGTCTCATCACCATGAGCGGTAGGCCCATCATCATGAGCGGTAGACTCATTACCATGAGCGGTAGACTCATCACCATCTCTTCTTCCGTGTGTCCCTGGGACCTCTTATCATCTGTCTTCCCGAGAAGCTGTACCCATCACTCTTATCAAAACAACCACTCCCCGTTCTTTGGATCAGGATATTAGCAGGTCTCAACGCAGTTCGATGATTCAAAACCCGAGAAAATTGCTATTTCCTGTTATTTCAATTCATAATAGTTCGGCCGCATCTGAGGCAGCAAGTTTAGGGAATTTCTCCGTACGCATAGAGTTATTCTCGTCTAGTNCTATTTAGGTAATTGAAAATCAGATAAAAATAGCTTCCAGGTCAGCTGAATGGGGGAAATTTTGAGGAAAACATACTGAGGTTTGTGCGAGGGTTGTGCAAGAGCAATTCCCTCTATTTAGCGCAGGAGTGAATATCAATCATAATACCTGAAAATATCAATCGCTCTATTACTTATCGAGTTTCAACTCAGATGAAAAAAATATTAATAACCTCCTAACTCCTCAAAGTAGCTCTTTATGCAATCATTTTAGAGTCACAAATCAATATTTACTTGTATTTCTTCAATAATTACAAAAATAATTGAAAATAGTTACAATAATAATTACAAATTACAATAATAATTACAAATTACAATAATAATTACAAATTACAATAATAATTACAAATTACAATAATAAAAACAAGTTACAATAATAAAATTGTAATTTGTACAGCGGTTACGAGACTGCTTCTGGAGCGGACAGCTCCGGGGCGCAGACGCTGCAGCTGCGGATCCCAGCAGCCGCCGCCGCGGACGCCGGGGAGTTTGTGTGCGGGGCGAGCAACGCGCACGGCGATGCGCAGGCGCCCTTTACCGTCGTCGTAGAAGGTATTAATTGATTAATTAAGTAACAGGGCGGTCATAATCACATTAAATTGTTGAAATAAGTTATATTGAAAAATGAAATCGAGTAAAGAATTACACAGTTAAAGTTCTTTTATATTTTATTTTAAAATAATCTATTTAACAAGAAGTTTCAACGAAGACGGCAATGATCGATGAGGAGGGATATGATCATTTAAACCTAAGTTTCAGAGATTTAAACTTTTTTAATTTCCACTCATGATAAAAATCTGGTATTCTGCTCCTCAAGTTGTTGCATCAAATTTAATTGGTTTATAAAATCATGTTTTTTTGTCCAGGCAATATAGTGCCAATGACGAACAGACAAATTTAGATAGATGCTTGAATAATCTACTCGGACCAGCCGAGCTACAATTTGAAATATTGAATAAATATGACTATATAGTAAATGAAGTGCAATTGAATCTTAAAATATGTAATCTTAAACTAAAGTCTAACCTCCCACAAAAGAAAATTAGGCATAGAGTTATGCAACCCCAAAAACAAATTAAATTGACACGCCATTCACGCAAAACGAGGAATAAAGAATACGATTTATTGGCAGAATTGCAGAGATAATCATGACCGATTAATTTGGCGTTCCTGCAGGTACTGATTCGTAGACAGCACTGATCAATGTATATTGGAACCACACGGAACAATGTGTATAGAAGCCCATTACGTACAGATTGATTGAACCGACCAGAGCTCTGAACTGCATAAAAATGAATATCAGGAGCTTGTTCGCCTCGTACCAAACATTGACTTGCCCGCACAGCTGGACAAAGGACAACCGCACTGCGCACCAGAAAAAATTATATTCCCTGTATTATCATGGAAGATTATTAAGCGTTCAAATTTAAGAAATTATCGGTGAGAAATTTAATGTCTCACAACCGGTATTACTGCAATGTTATTTTAACATTATAGAAGTCTTGATAATAATCGGATATATCGATTGATGGTAGGAATGATCGATTATATCGAATACTTGTTTATGGATAATTAAATTTATTTATGATCAATTACATTGACTGATGTTTGACTGACTTGACCTACGATCGACTGATTGCTTATTGACCGCTTTGACTAACGATGTAAATGTAGTGCTTAAGTGAAGTGCTTGGTGATTGAGTGAGTGATGGTGATCGAGTGCAGTGCTTGGTGATTGATTGAGTGATGGTGATCGAGTGCAGTGCTTGGTGATTGATTGAAATGCATCGTGCTCAAGTGATGTTCTTGGTGATCAAATGTAACACAAAGTGATCGACAATTGTGCTTGATCGTTTTTTTTAAATTAGATAGAAATTAACACTTGGTAATGGAAGGTAGAACTTGGTTATGATATTACCTGGTGATGAAGGGTATTAGTAGTAGATGAAATGACATAATATACTACTAAGGACTAGAATTCAACGTATAGGACTATTTACCTGTGCGCTCTCGGTTAGAATCAAACATTTAATTCTGTAACCTACAAAGGATTTTTTTGGGGGGTTCCACGTTTTGATTTATTGTTTCACGGAAACCGACACAGATGTCCCTGGAGCCCCGACCGCAGTTCAGGTGCGTGAGAGCGACGCGCGTCACGTCTCGCTCTCGTGGTCGCCGCCACCAGCGTCGTCGTCGGTGAAGGCCCCCGTCATGTCCTACGTCATCACGATTGAAGAGCACAGGGACGATGGTATGCAGAGCCTGTCCCATATTTTTTTACATTTGTTGGAAATGTAAGGGAACCAGATATAGCAGTGACAAAATTAGCGAAAAATCACACGTCTGATTGTTGTTTCAAAATATTACTTCATTCATGCCTTACTCTTATCATGTAACAATAGTAAACGATGAGTTACCTCTGATTATTACCGCTTTCTTTTTTCTCATGTTCATCTTCGTTCTTGTTTCCACTCGGCCCTTATTTCGTCTTTTCTCCAGTTTCCTCCTTGCACTTGTCTCCACCTCATTATCCTTCCATCTTCGACCACTCAACTGCAAGAAAACATCAACAATTCTCTTCTCTCGCAGAAGCGATGGAGAGCGAAGCGTTGCTGGACCCACAAGCGACCGGCAGTTCGGGGACCGGTGACCCAACCACGAGCGTCGGTGACCGCAGAGTCGAAGTTTTGGTTTCTGGGGCGAGCCTCAGCCACCGCGTGTCCGGTCTGCTGCCGTACACCTGGTACAGCTTCTCTGTCGCCGCCCAGAACAGCGTAGGGCGAGGACCGAGTTCTGGACCCTTACGCCACCGCACCCTGGAGGAAAAGCCGTCTGCACCGCCCACTAATGTGCAGGTCAGTCGGTGCACCAATTTTAAGGATCCTTCTGCACCACCTACTAATGTACGGGTTAGTCGGTGCACCTATTTTAAGAAGCCGTCTGCACCGCCCACCACTGTGCAGTTCAGTCGGTGCACCTATTTTAAAAAGCCGTCTGCATCGCCTATTAATGTGCAGATCAGTTAAAGCAACATTATAAAAAGCTGTCTGCAGTGTAAACCTATGAACAGGCCACTCATTCGAAGAAGCCGTTTAAACTGCCAGTCGTGCAGTTTCTTCGGTGCCAACAGTTTGAGAAGCGCGTTAATGCGCATGTGTATTGGTGTATTGCAACAATTATTTACACTGACTGTACATCGAAATAAAGAATTGCATTTAATTAAAGTAGAGCAGCGGCAAGTGTGTAATGAAGGCTTATGCTTCATCGGGTTCGTTACGCGGGTGCATCAAACATCAGCCACCAAAAACTAATTTATTGAACAAGAACAATAATTAAACAGTATTGTTAGAAAGGTTGACACGACTCTAGATAAGCTAAGTGCCCAGTCCTACAATTCACAATAGGTGACAAAGGTCGTAGCACATCCCAGATCCTGGGAGCACACGAAGATCCTTCCAAGCAAGTACTTGGAATACATGGTCCCTGAGGCAGCTCACTCTCGTGACCCGCAACCCTACATTGGAAATAAATACTTCCATACTGACTGATATTATAACTTATGCACTTGCATGACAGATTCCATATATGATCACTTTTTAACCAATTTACATGAAACAGAAATAGCTAATTTATTGTTAGGATACCTTGGGCTAATATAGCAGCTCACCAATAAAGGCAGTGTAAGATGACTTAAAGCACAGCAGAAGAGTGGCACAATAGGTCAACTAGGCCTGAAAATGGGTTGTTCACGGTAGGACCTCCTCTTAACGACTGACCTAACGCACGGTATAGTCTCTCGTAAGAACGATTTCCTTTTGGTGTCTTCTAATATGTAACTAACTACCTTACAAAGTGATAGCGCACGGCATGAGTGACACTCACGAATTATATCTTGAGCCACTTACGAGTTTTGGAACTTGCCCATCGCTAGTGATCGCACTAGCAAGGTGCATTGGAGGCACGTACCTACTCAACATGCAGGTGATATGCATGGTAAATGATGCATACCCTTTGAACCAAGTTATATAGCCTTTCCGTTCTCTATGTACTAAGAATTGGTTTTACTAACAATGGAGGGCTGAATTAACTCGTCTTGTACATCTTTTCTCGTTGCAGGTGATGCGCTGTAATAGCTTCTTGTCCTTCCTCTATTCACTGTGGATCGTCTCAGGGGTGCACTGCACCAGGTTCTTGTCCATCCTTCATTCACTAAGGATGTGGTTCTTTGCAGGTTGTGCTCTGCACCAGGTTTTTGTCCATCCTTTATGCACTCAGGATGTGGTTCGTCGCAGGTGTGCACTGCACCAGGTTTATGTCAACCCTTTATGTACTCAGGATCTGGTTTGTTGCAGGTGTTGAGTTCGAGCTCTCGATCGCTGCGCGTGTCGTGGCTGCCGCCGCCTCGCAACGCCTCACACGGACGTCTCTTGGGCTACTACCTCGGCATCCGGTTCCGCCTCCCCAGGTTCGAAGCCTCGCCTCACGCCTCACATTCATGCGCCAGATTAGGCATACCTGTAGCTAACGCTTGATCAAATTTGCGCATCATGATATTTGTCATTGACAAGAAGGTTTAGTACTTACGGTGGTCAAAGCCCCCAGGCGCCACTTGTGGCTCTAATTCGGTCCATGAACACTTGGCTGTATCATTGAGTTTACTTAAAGGAGATGATGAAAGACGTTGAATTCTTAACGTATCGGCAGCACGAGGGACGGTGCAAATGACGAAGACAGCGCTTACAACTTCACGACGGTGGGCGGTAGCGACACTTCGTCCACCGCCACGCACACCATTGTCACTGACCTGCATCCTCACTCCTTCTACGACGTAATAGTCAGGGCTTTCAACTCTCGAGGGGCTGGACCCTCGTCAGAGCCCGTACTGGGGCAGACTCTTCAAGACAGTGAGTGTTGTGCTAGTTCCTCGGCCTCATTTACGCAAATTTTTTCTGAGGCCGAGCTTCGATGCCTTCCCGTCGCTGATATTTGTTGCAGCAAAACATGTTGAATTGTACGTCATTGCTCGTCGAGGACGCAGAGGCTCTCGTTTCAGAAACGAAAGGCCGTTTATCATCCTAAACACTTATTGTTTGTTATTTCTGTATCCTAAGCAACGTATAATAAACCGTACTAATTGCTCGTCAGAACCCTCGGCACCCCCTACATCACTGACGTGTGAGGGCCTGAGCGCCACGTCGCTGCTGGTCTCTTGGTCCCCTCCGCCAGAGGGCGCTCGTAACGGGGTGGTCACGCGCTACCGAGTGTCGTTTTCGGCTCTTCGCCACGCCGGTGAGTTGCCGGCGCTGCGGAACTTATTTCGCTTTCTTCACTTACGATATAATCTTCAGAAGAGATGATGATATGTGTACGTGAGATTATAAAGATGTTTCATTGTAAAATAATTTCTGCTTTGAATTTGCATCTTTGTTAAAGCTTAACCGAAACCATTTTTCTAAAGAGTGCTTTATCAGCAATATGCCAAATTCATAATATATACTCGTGCCCTTGCTGTTGGAGCTTCTAGAGAATTAAATATTTCTGTTTGTGGGATACACTTAGTAATAATTTCCTGGGTTTTGTTCTCCTGTTCATGTAAAATTTTTAGTAAAACATCCGGAATTTTTACATTTTAGCTTCTAGCTCAACATATTTATCGCCTTTCACAAGGAAGATTTTTGTTTATATTTGAAGTTCATTCGTTCAATTGCTTATGTCCAAGTGGAGATTTTTTGTCGCCTGTCAGGTTTTTTTTCAATGAATAAATTCAAGCAACGTGGGACGGATGCAATTTAGTATTTTGCACTCGCAAGGTAGATTGTTAAAGGTTAAATGATGTACCTGCATGCATAATTAATTAATTCAGAATAATCAAAACATTCAATCGTATGTTTATGTTGGCTACTGGAAAATGCAGGGTTCAATTTTCAGTTAATAGTATGTTTTGTTTAATATATATTTATTTAAAAATATCTAAGTAGTAATTATATTTTCAACTGCAGTAAGGACGTCTAAAAAATTATTTTCATGCCAAATACCTCACGTCTTCAGTTATATCATTTCTCTTGATGTCGTCCGCGTTGTGCAAGCATTTGCACTTTTCCGTATCCCAGATCCGGCGACCGCACAGCCTTCAGGACAAACATTTCTGAACCTCGCAACAGTAACGTCATCTGAGTCGTCCTTGAGTGATGATGAACAGAACGTCGATGTTCACAAAGTAACATCGGCGCAACTGGAAAACCTCGAGGAGTTCACGAACTATTCGGTGGCCGTCGCAGCGGCTACTGAAGCCGGTGTTGGTGTCGCTTCTGAAGCTGTCATTTGCACCACGCTCGAGGACGGTGAGATTTCTTCGATTTGTATTAATTTAATTATCTATAATTTGCAATAATATATGCGCAATAATTGTATATGATGTACAATAATTGATTATCGAAACATGTTTTACCGTTTACCGAAAATAAGTAATATTTTTTGTTATTCTTCTCTGCGAGATAAGTATCCATCTCGACATTTCATTAATTTATCAATGCGTATGAGACCAGATGAGATCTGCAAGCATCGAAAAATGAAAGCAAAATGCTTGACGAATGTAATATTCAGCTCGATTTAGATATCGTGGATATCAATATGTAACTATTTCTTATTTTTCTTTATTAGTCATTCTATCGATCTATCTCTCTGCTGTTGCCATTTCTATTTATTGCAACCACCGTATTTATTTCTGTTCTTCATTGCAGTCCCTACGGCCATCAAGGAAGTGAAGGCCTTCGCCACAGGCCCCCAGAGCGTGATGGTGTCTTGGTCGCCCCCCAGAGCGGCGAGGGGGCGGCTCACCCACTACACTGTTTAAAACGCCCTACACACGATGCCTGATTATTACAATGCATTGCAATAATCAGTATAATGATAATTCTCTTATTTCAATATCTTCCAATCAATTCAATGCATTGTAACGTCGTCGTGAAGTTATACAGCTTATCTTTGCCAAACTTTGGAAGAAGTGCCGTTCAATTTGATCTGCAGGTATTCAGAGGCCCAACCTTTCCTTTATTATTCAATGCTTATTCAAAGTCTTATTAAGTCTTAAGACTTAATAAGTCTTAAGACTTAATTAATAAGTCTTAAGTCTTATTCAATGCTGTTGTTACGGTAGGCTATTGAAATTCGCATTAAACTTATCCTGAGGAATACCCGATTCGTCAATATATACGCCATTGTGTGGGGTTTGCAGGCATTCAATCGGTTCACTGCAAGTCACATTCAACTATCGAGTGACTATAACCCACATTGTCCAATATTACGCAGTTTGTGTGATCATTCAGGAGATGCTGCAACAGCCGCTTATAACATTTAGCCGAATATAACCATCCTTTTATCCACCATTATGCAGTTGCATGGTGTTATAATTCAAGAGATGCAACGAGACTCACATATAGCGTTCAGCCGAATATTATCATCATTTTATCTCCCATTATGCAGTTGATGTTATAATTTAGGAGATGCAACGAGAACCACATATAGCGTTCAGCCGAATATTATCATCATCATATCTCCCATTGAGCAGTTGGTGCGGGCATCTGGTCGGTGGGCGGAAGCGTGCTCGTCAATTGGAAGCACGACGCACTCCTGCAATGCCGCACCGTCGGCGATCTCTTATTTCAATATCTTCCAATCAATTCAATGTATTGTAACGTTGTCGCGAAGTTATACAGCTTATCTTTGCCTAACTGTGCAAGAAGTGCCGTTCAATTTGATCTGCCGCTCTGAGGCCCAACCTTTCCTTTAGTTTTTTATCTATCCCTATTTCACAGTCTTTTTTAATGCTATTGTTACGAGTAGACTATTACAATTCGCATTAAACTTATCCTGAGGAATACCCGATTCATCAATATATACGCCATTGAGTAGCGTTTTCAGGCATTCAGCCGGTGCACTGCAAGTCACATTCAATTATCGAGCGACTAAAACCCACATTATCCAATATTATGCAGTTGGTGATGCCGCAACAGCCGCATATAACGTTTAGCCGAATATAACCATCATTTTATCCACCATTATGCAGTTGGTGTTAGAATTCAGGAGATGCAGCGAGAGACACATATAACATTTAGCCGAATATAACCATCCTTTTATCCATCATTATGCAGTTGGTGTTAGAATTCAGGGGATGCAGCGAGAGACACATATAACATTTAGCCGAATATAACCATCCTTTCATCCACCATTATGCAGTTGGTGTTAGAATTCAGGAGATGCAGCGAGAGACACATATAACATTTAGCCGAATATAACCATCCTTTTATCCAACATTATGCAGTTGGTGTGATCATTTAGGAGATGCCGCAACAGACACATATAACGTTCAACCGAATATAACCATCATTTTAACTCCCATTATTCAGTTGGTGCGGGCATCTGGTCGGTGGGAGGCAATGTGCTGGTTAATTGGAAGCACGACGCACTCCTCCAATGCCGCACCGTCGGCGTGCCGGAGCCCTCCAGGACCTGGACCCGCGGAACGGAGCGCGTCGCTCTAAACTCCCCGGGGTGCGCTTGCCAGGTTTAACCCAGCCGACATTCAATGCACTTTTGAGTACTAAAATAACTTGATTGATTTAACAGCAAATTTTACAAAAAGTTTATAAGCACAACAAATGGTCAAAATTTACAAGTTCCTTAGCGAAAATACCTCTCGGAGCCAAACTTCATCGTTACTTCGGTTATCCTAGAATTCAAGTTAGATCACTTGATTCCAAAGTGCGACCAAATTTCACACTGCAGACATTCAAACCTAAATTAAAAAATACAACACAAACTTTGAAATAACCACAAGGAGACAGGCCTATCTATTTACAGTTTCATGAGGATAAGAACTGAACGGGGCCTTTACACTATAGGCATCCTGTTAGGAAATACAAACGCTGGATCTTAAAATTTGCATTTTAAAAATACTGATTGTGGACGCAACGAAGTACGAGATTTCATAAGGTATTTCATTAAAAAGTTTTCTTATATAAAGATAGTGTGAATTTTTGCAATATTTTCTGTCCTTTTAAATTCTCGGTGAATGTATTCCCTATTACTTATTTTTATTCCGTATCTTGCACATTTCTAACTTGGCATTATCTTAACGCTTAAGTTTCTGGTATTGAAGTGTCGGGAGGATTGTTTGATTTGAAAATTAATTTAAGAATCAATTACGATTTATTTTGAACTCTCGGTGCAGGCTCGTAGTGCTGGACGACGGCTCGCTGCGTCTCGTCTCCCCGGGCCGAAGTCACAGCGGCTCCTACAGCTGCACGGCTGCCAACAGCTACGGCTCGGACACCATCACGTACAACGTCACCGTGAGAGGTCACTCTCATCACTACTACTTTTTTATGGCAACTCATGTAGCTCGAGATACATTCTAACTTACAAAAAAATTTGAACTATTCCACTAGTCACGAGTGGAACAATGGGGTAATTTACAACAATTTCAGGTTCATTTACAGTTTAAAAACCAGATCATGAATCATAGTTGATTTTTCATTCAACGCAGCAAAAAAGTAGCCAAGGAGTAGTATTGGGTTCTACACTTCTTTAGTTCACATATTCTTCATTCCAATTATTGACTTTATTCAATTAATGGTGTTCCGTGTACCCAATTTGAGTTATGGGTTTCAGTTTTTATTCAAGACGCTCCCCGTAAGTCATAATGATTTAGTTATATGTTTCAGTTTTTATTCAAGTTAAGTCATAATGAGTATGTCTGTTAACATGAAAATATATTTCCAATCAGTGCCGCCGTCGCCACCTGAGCTGCACGTCACAGAAACGACCTCATCGTCCGTCAGGCTGCAGTGGGACGTTGCAGACGAAGGAGGCGCCGCTGTCACGTCTTTTGAACTCGTCTACTCGTAAGCTGACCGCATGCTTGCTGATCGAGTTAGGCTGTTTTCCGCCCCTATGTATCTAAATTCGTCTTTTTTGGTGAAAACTTTCCTGAAAAATGTAATGCCATGTCAGATAGACTAACTACGCTCTCATCTGTTGATATGGACTCGCAATTTGGTGCTTTTTTCAAAAGATAATAACGAAAATAGAATCCAATGCAGAAGGAGCGAAAAAATAACAATTGTTATTGGAGCGTATATTTTTTGTATTTTTAAGCGTCATTCTACCCGCTGTTGGCCTCAATTCACGCAGTACAGAAGACGGGCCAGCAGTGAACATTAACGTGCGAGGTGACAGCCACACCGTGTACGGCCTGCAGTGCGGCACGCGCTACAACTTCCACATCACGGCTCGCAACGCCATCGGTGCGTGTCAAGAGATACACCAATACTCTAAATATGATGTATAATAAATTATCTGAACACTCAAAGTGTGTCTGAATGATTCACGTGAGCGTCATTTTGTCAGGGTCGAGCGAGCCATCGAGTGTTGTGACGGCTCGCACGAAGGGCCGAGCTCCCGTGGCTCCCCCGCTGTTCCAGTTCGTGACCAGCAACAGCACCCAGGCCACCCTGTACCTCACCCAGTGGGACTCTGGGGGCTGTCCCATCTCCCACTTCGTGGTCCAGCTCCGCGACTCCAACAACCACTGGACTACGGGTCTGCTCCTTTGAAGGATAATTTCATATGCTCCTAAATAACTAAAAAATTTTGTGCACGTTGTATTGAATTTTTATCACACTATAAACTAGCAACCTGCGATACATTTGCATTTAAATTAGGCAAAATTTTTAACTCTAATGTTTATCGCATAATTAGTCGTACCATTCTAGTTCGTCCGATGAATAAACGCTCGTTTAAGGCGTTAAATACGTTGTCGAGTTTTCGACGGATTTTCATAAACGAAATTTGTTTTTGAAAATTATTAAAAAAGAATTGAGTCCGACTCACGTTATTTAAATTTGTGGTGCAATTATGAAACTAAAACGACATTTAAGGGATATTTCATTACATTAGCACCCTATATATGTGCCGTGAAATTCTACGGTGAACACTCGTAATATTCAAGTATCTATGACGTGTTTCGGGAGTTCACAATAAAAGGAACTATCCCATTTTGCTATAGAAGCAAGCAGGAAATAAGTTCTATACAAACAAATTAACAGATCTCTCAATAATATCATTTGTTGCAGTGAGCTCGGAGGTGTTGCCGAGCAGGACGTTCGCGGTGACGGGCTTGTCGGGCGGGGGGGACTACGACATTCAGGTTACGGCGCATAACGCAGCCGGCGCCACCAGGGCGCTCTACTCCATCTCTACCCCGCTACCACAAACTGATGGTGACTTCCACGTCATAAAATTCAATAAAAATTGTGCATATTTGTTTCGAGGGCCTAATCGACTTTCTTCTTACACGAGTATTAGTACGTCTTATTCATGTCTCCGTTTACAATTGAAGGAAGTTACTCATATATGCCTCTTAAACTGCGGGGATTATCAGATGTACATTCCTTTCAGTTCATAGATCCGTCCTTGATGCGCTATCTTTTACTTTACGAATTCGTGCGTAATATTCATTCGTTCTACCGAATACAATTGATATTGCTATATTTTATGCACAAAAAATAATTGTTATCTCCTACTTGCATCAATTTGAAAAAAAAATCATTGAAGGCTAAAGTTTGTTTTCTCAGCGTCATCGTTGTAACATTAGCCCACAAATAAATTGCACTGGACAAGTCTTCTCAAGACCTTCAAGCTTTGTCTGAATGGGTCGCCTACCAAAGACCACCACTGCCCTGGATGTAATGGACCATCATGATTCCTTCCTTCCGGAACATAGCCTTCAACACTTCAAGCCGTCCGTATCTAGGCCGTGCGTCGAATCAGCCCTCGGTCGAACGGCTACTTGTCGAAATTTTGGAACAGAAAACAGAACGGTGCTATCTGAAACCTAACCTCAGATGCGGTGAACGTAAACTTACGTAATTTAACGATGCCCGGAAGTCATATTCGATCCGCGGCCTGGAGGTGAACGGCAGGTTCTATGCAAGGCCGGAGGAAGACAAATCCGAGTGGTGCACGGCTGATTGGTGGATGTCCAGAGAGATCCAAGGCGTTCGATTTAGGGCTTATTGGTGCACAAAATTGGTGGTGCACGGCTGCGCTCCCGTCTGAATATCAACCTCAATGTGCATTCACTCAGTAGCGAAGCTCCCAACCATGGAGTGAACGTGGTCGCCAAATGTGCGGCTCCACTATCTCTCAACTCGTAATAAAAAGAGCTAGATATCATATATTATTATGTTTCCATGTTTTATTTTGCTTGTGACGCCTCATGCAATGAAACTTCAGACGCTGGCACGGCATGGGACGGCCTCGAGCGCTCCAGACCCGCCACCCTGCAGCCAAGTCCCTGGAACGAAGTGCGCATCGTCCTTCCAGTCTGTCTCTCGCTGCTGGCGCTCGTCGCTGCCGGCGTCAAGGCTCTTCTATGCATCAGAAAAAGTTGGTCTTTCCAGTATCTGCGTCAAAAGAAAATTAATTGGTTCATTCCGTGAATTATTTCGCTAGGTCCCACTGACGGCACTTCACTAAAGAAGAGCAGTTGGAAATCATTATTTAGTCTACATATTAATCGAAATTTATTACATTTATGCGGGGAACAAAGTAATCAGAAAACAAGTTGCCCATTTCCATTGATTACTTTTGCACTTCATAAGCGAAGAAGCTTATTGTGCATCAGTGGTGCTTCATATAAGCAGCATTCAAAACTCAGTCTCTTTTCAAATCTCATAATTTGTTGCTATAGGTAAATCGTGAATTTAATGGTGTTATCTATTAATTTCTTTTTTACTGCTATTATCAACCTTTTTTTTATGTGTTCTGTTTAATCTTATTTCGTATCAACGCAAATCCAATTACATGCTTGTATATATCACTACGCTTATTTATGAACGTGGTCTGCTTTCGGTCTCGCAATTTATTTCTTTATTAGTAAGTGTGCTACCTATGGATTTAAAAGAAATTGTCTGTCATAAAAAAATATTATAGTTAATTAAAAAAAACTTTTCTGGTGATTATTTCGTCAAATATTTTTCGTTTGTACGGGCATTTCAGGGAAATCGAACACAACGAGCAAAAAGGAGACGTACAACGCAGCCGACGACCATTGCCTGTATGAGGCGGGCAAGCCTGCGGTCGTGGCAACTCACGACGCTCCGGACTACACTGAAATTGCGACTACGCACGGGGAAGATGGTGAGAATGACCGATATTAAAGGATTTACGTTGTTGTTATTTCAATATAGATGTAATGAATCCGAGTCATTGAATAAAATGGTCACAAATAATCTGTGCATTGAAGAAATTTTGAATCCTAATTGACTAGAAATTGAAGAGTACAGCTTACCTGCGCACGATTGATATTAAATGTAATTAAATTAAACTGCAATTCTTAAATATGCGTTAAATATTGTACAAATGTTTCTTATTCTTGACCAGGCTTTGGGGACTCAGACACATATGAGTGCGCCTCAAACTCCCAATTTGGGCCACTCCCAGCCAAGCCTCCCCACTCGACCACAGCTCCGTCCCCGAACAGAGGAAGGCCCCGTGTGTGTCACGGGGAAGCCGTCACGACGTTTTCTGATAACAAGTCAAATAAAAGTCGGAGTTATGCAACGCTCGTTTACCAGGCTCCTTCCGTCGGCAACGTAGATTCTGGAAACAGAGTAAGTGTTTGGAATAGCGTAATGAATAAAATTTATCATTCGAAGTACATACTTATATTCTTTTGACTCTCATTTTTTGTCATTTTCAAACTTTCTGCTCATCACACAACGCTTACGTACTAATTTTATAGATTCAGACCGCATGTTTCTCCTTAAATTGTATAATTTTCACGTATAATATAAATTCGTCCGCTTGATTAGATCATGTTCGCCAGCATTCAGTATTAACCACCTTGCCGATTTGACAATAATTTTCAAACTATCGAGGGATTCGTGCTCGCAACTTGCTGCTCCAATCTTTGTGATCTTAACCACTCGGTAATCCCTTGCACAATATGCTGTCTCAATTGTTTTAAATGTGCTCAATGTACAGAAAGTCCCGCTTTTACAGGATAGAGACTGCGGCAGAGATTCATTTCCGGATAGCAAAGTGCTGCAGAGCAACGCTCCAGCAGCAGGGCTCTACCACGAAGAATCGGTGTTAGTAAATGGAGCTACCACTACCACTGCATTCCACGCACCGAAGAGCAGAGCGTTCATACACGTAGAGATACCTCACAGGTTAAGCTCCCACCAGCCCACGCAACACGNACAGGCCCCCAGAGCGTGATCGTGTCTTGGTCGCCCCCCAGAGCGGCGAGGGGGCGGCTCACCCACTACACTGTTTACTGGGACTCTGCTGCCAGTCGCTCGTCTCAGACGCACTACAAGAAAGTTGAGCCCAACCATCATCATCTCAAGATCAAAGATCTTCCCCAGGAAACAATCGCGGTGGGTAAAATAATCTTCTGATATCTGATAACGACATAACCACGTCATTATTTAAATGACGCTCTTGTGTCTGATAACGAAATTATCAATAAAACATGTTGGCAAACATTTCTAGATGGACGGCCTTCTCAAAAAACCTCGATACAGCGTGAAATTCAATAGTTATTTTATTTAAATTATTCCCCACCTTGATTACGTCATCAAATAGTTAACTGAAAAAATCAGCATTGCGAAAATGTTCAATTAACCGTGAAATTAATGTCAATGAAGGTGCAGAAATGTCTGAAACATATTGATTAATTTGACCTCAAAAATATTTTAGAATATCATTTCATTTCCGATTCACTCTCACAATATTCACAACTAGAATATTTCTATAATTTATTATTGTTATAGCGATGATGCATGAAGCGATAACATGGTGACTCTCTCCGAAGGTGTGGGTGACTGCATCAACATCTATCGGGTCGAGTCCTGAGAGCGACAAAAAGACCGTCACTCCATCGAACACCGGTAAGAAATTCCTGATAATATGACAAATCAACTAAACACCAACCGCTTCAAGTAAGATCTTCCAAATGAAAAATACGCCCTACATACGAGGCCTGATGATTTCAATGCATTTCAATAATCAGGATAATGATAACTCTCTTATTTCAATATCTTCCAATCAATTCAATGTATTGTAACGTTGTCGCGAAGTTATACAGCTTATCTTTGCCTAACTGTGCAAGAAGTGCCGAGCAAAGTGCTGCAGAGCAACGCTCCAGCAGCAGGGCTCTATCACGAAGAATCGGTGTTAGTGAATGACGCTACCACTACCACTGCATTCCACGCACCGAAGAGCAGAGCGTTCATACACGTAGAGATGCCAAACAGGTTAAGCTCCCACCAGCCCACGCAACACGCACAGCACAGGCCACATTTCGTGGAGTATCAAGCTCAAGAAGCACCACGCATTTTTTACAAGACTCATCAAGAGAAACGTAATCAGAACGTTGAATTTATTCATGCAAGTGAATCAAAAGCTCACATAAAAGTTCGACCATCAGAAATCGAAAACAATCGTTTTCTTTAAAGCCATTATACGTTGTTTGGACCTTGTGCGTGAATTACTCCTACATTAGTATATCAGTCGCACTAATCTCCTTTTTATGAAAATGTTATTTTGTAAAAAATCTTTGTGAATTCGAAACTAATGTGTTAAATTCGAAACGTCGCATTCCATTAAAATGCCGTTTTGTAACCTGCTTTTTGATTTCCCAGCGCCAGCAAGAAATTTTGTCGTTTCATTGAAAAAACAAGTAAGAATATTATTAACTCGTCCTCGACAACTTACCCTGATCTGGACCACGGCTGCGCCCTCGTACCTATACTACCTAATAATAATGACCCTTTCCTGATGCCAGCTCGGTGCGCCGACTCCCTTGAACTTTATGGCTCTGAAATGTGTGATATAAACGAAACTTTAACCGTGCAGGGAAGTAAACTCGATATTTTTAACACTTTATTGATAACGAAGGCACTGGTGGATATTGATGAATGTTGTCTAAATACAGAAGCAAGAACAAAATAACCCAAAATAAACCGAGCGGATGGCTCGAACTGAGGCTAACTGATCGTGATAACTCAGTTAGGTTCTGTAAACAAGGGAAAACAAACTTAAAATGTGGCAAGGAATGAGTTGACCTGCGTTATCATTGCCAAAATAATTCCGAACAAATGAAAAAAAACACAAAAAAATGTATAAATCATACTAAATAAATTTACCATAACACTCACAAAAAATTCATCACCGGTGAAGCGACAGGTGCTTCATGACCAACCGAATGAAAGTGACGCATATCGAATTATCGCGAACAGTAGGATGTTTCTCTACATGAAAATGCTAGTAAAACCAAAAAGATAAAACACTTTTGAAAACATGATTACGAATTTAACAGAACAAAATATAAGAAATAACTGTTTAATGATCGCAAAAAATGACAAGAAAAATCGCTCTACAAGAATATAGTGCCGCATGAGGCGCGGCTACAGAGGTACATTAGCGCAGTGCGACAAAATATTACTGGCTTATCCCGCGGAAAATTCTGTCAAATGTATCTTTCCTATGACACTTGGATAAGAATTATTTAAGTGTAATTCCTCAATGGTTTTCGGTTCGAATAATAATTGTCAATATAGTATAATTGGAGGAATGAAATAGTGGGAGTGGCACTCTAAGGTAGTAATTATTTAAAGTTAGACACTGTGATGTATTATTACAGGAATCGATCAGGTAGCTATATTGACACAATCGCAAGCCACACGATTGCTGGAGTCGTCTTAAGTAGATGCGAATAGAGGCTGGCTGCTGGTGCAGCTAAGAGATGTTGGTCTGCGACTGCCTCAGAGAAAACTTTAGTAGCTTATATATAATATATAAGTACGAAAATGACATCATAGAAGGTGATGTGGGAAATGCTACTGAAAGTTTGGGTGTTGACGTAAGACAACCTGACATGTCCGCCCTTGCCAAAATATAAATCGATTATTATTTAGTAGCAAGTACGATTACTTCGAGGTGAACGCGTTAAACTTATGGCACTTTACTCAAGTAAAATACTAAATGAAAAGTAAACAATTATATTGATTACTAATAGTAGCGTAGGAGCTAAGCTTGACGCTAGTAAAGCACTAGTTGCAACTAAGTGTCTCAGAAGGAGAATCAAAATTATAATCAGTTGATAGACGCCAACGGGCATAAAGCAAAAACTGAAAAACTTGATTCTATCCTACGATGTGCTTAGAAGCTCGGCACTTCTTTGCCAGGTCTTTCATTTCTTTCTTCTGATAGTGTTCCTGAGGGCGGGGCGTGGCTCGCAGAAAAAATATTATTAGCTTTTCTAATATTAGCATACATATTGATACCTTAATCTAAAAATACAATGATTTTAACTGAAGTGGATCATTCAGTGGATAAATGAATGTTACGTTAATTTAATTGGGCTTGGGCAATTTTTTTACCCATTTTAATTATCAGTTACATTAAATTCATTCATGATCCGGTCAGAAGGTATAGTTTACAAGGGTGTGTCCAAATACTTGGAGTATAATTCAATAATATCAATAATACATATAATTGGTACAGCATGTATCAGTTAATAACATCTGAATGATCTGATCATACAATACTTAAATAGAAGTTAGCAGATTTACTTGACCATAATTAACAAGATACATGTTTATAGAATTTTATGTGTGCTGCAAGAAAAAATTAACACAGAAGGTAGTTTTTGTGAAATTTTAGGCAGATTCAACATCCGAGTGTGACTCTAGTGAGATGATCTCTCTGCCTGTCCTTATTAGTTAAGTGGAAGTTTTGTCCGTGGCGAGCACGTGTAGTGGAGCTACGTACCTTCCCTCCACGGCAGCTGTCGCTTCCGAGGCAGCACGACGAGGTCGTGACATAACTCACGTGATAACTTAGCCGCAAGAGCCGCCGGGTCCACTATACTTCAGTGTAACAACAGTCAACATGGTCGGCATCGGAGGACTTACGGTTTGCTGTGGTGTTACTGCCGCCACGGTATTAAGCACGACATGCTCAACGCCGGGCAACGAACACGACACACGACTCACCCGTGAACGTTGTTTCAACAGACAGATAGCGAACTTTAAGCCAAGAACTACTAGAAACAGGCAAGTCGTTAGCAAACCGTACAAGAAATGGAACTCTGGGAACCAGTACATCAGAGTGTGTCTGTACTCGGGCCTCCAGCGTTTCACCTAACAATTTTACTTTTTTAATCATTGAATTTAATTTATGGTCAATGTGTAAATAACTTGGTGAGGCTTTACTGATATTGTAGGCACTGAGTACAACGGAATCGACTTCAGAGTAGTGGAGCTACGTACCTTCCCTCCACGGCAGCTGTCGCTTCCGAGGCAGCACGACGAGCTCGTGACATAACTCACGTGATAACTTAGCCGCAAGAGCCGCCGGGTCCACTATACTTCAGTGTAACAACAGTCAACATGGTCGGCATCGGAGGACTTAACGGTTTGCTGCGGTGTTACTGCCGCCACGGTATTAAGCACGACATGCTCAACGCCGGGCAACGAACACGACACACGACTCACCCGTGAACGTTGTTTCAATAGACAGATAGCGAACTTTAAGCCAAGAACTACTAGAAACAGGAAAGTCGTTAGCAAACCGTACAAGAAATGGAACTCTGGGAACCAGTACATCAGAGTGTGTCTGTACTCGGGCCTCCAGCGTTTCACCTAACAATTTTACTTTTTTAATCATTGAATTTAATTTATGGTCAATGTGTAAATAACTTGGTGAGGCTTTACTGATATTGTAGGCACTGAGTACAACGGAATCGACTTCAGCTGTTCACTCTTCGCACGCATTATAGCCTCCACGTTAGAGCGAACGTACCGTTTGTACCACGCAGAGAGCACGGTACGTGCGTATATATACCGACACGATATTAGTCGTGTCGTGCGTACAGCGGTGCCGTTTGTACTCAAACAACTTACTTTTACCCATGTTTGTCGCAAGGACGCAATATGCAATTCATTTCGAGTGAACTCACCGTATACAGACTCTTACATACACAAAAATGTATGACATAGTTATAAATACTAAGTTGCAATACATTGAAGATTTTAAGGGAAAATTCTAATTGCATAGTGTCACAATTTTTTAAGCAATGAAATTCGTAAAAATACCTTTAACATTACTAATGCAGTTATATTTAATGAAATTAATGTGTTATTTAGATACATTATATCTTCTCCTCTATTTCAACGTTTCACAGGTTATACTTCAATACGAAGGTGCAACGA